TTCACACCACATGCGTTACACTCAACTTCTGGTATTTAAATGGTCAGACTTTCATTTATAAGCACCACGCTGCTTGACATTAACAATTAAATCAGTATGTTTTTAATATTGTAGCTTTGTCTCTTCTCAATCCCATGACTATTGAGGGGTCCGTGATGCAAATCATATCCAGTTTAAAGATATCTCAAACACGATTAACAAAAACTAAAACGCGTATAACATATCATTGTGTATTTTCTTTATAATGTATGTAACGAGCATTATTGCTACCATAAAGAGCATCCTGCCATATGAAGTAGAAAGAGATGAAAATAAAATGTTCCGCGTCACGACATAAACCTAATATTAGTGGCGTTCTGCTACCAGCATGGATCCGCAATATGTTGGTTTTTCTGTGACGAAAAGGACTCAATGTCTTTTCGAGTTTTTCAATTTAAAAAAGAAAAACAAAAGAATTTCCTTGTAAATAATTGGGATTTATTATAAATGACACGACTTGGGTTAAGTTTCAACTTTTAGAAAAATCTAATTGGAAGACTATATCGTTATGAAATTAAATCTTGATGTGACCAGTAACGGAAATTATTTGGAAATTAAAGAAAATATGATAAGATAGATTATACTGTCCTAGGAATGATAATTTGGTCTTAACGGTACATGGGAAAGTCCAAAAAACGGGGTTATCTGGATCATTATCCGATATCGTAAAGTGAAACACTTACATATACTATATAGCATTATTCTTACAGAATCGTTTGTGTATTACCGTTATGGCTCTGCCGGGTAGATCGAAGAAATTGTAACTTTTAGTGTTTATGTTACTTCATAGGTTTCGAACCCCCACTTAGTGCCATTTTTATAACCACAGTTTTCTTCTTACTCTGTTTTTTTATTCCATTGTTATTTATTTATTTTCGTTTTCCTTTTTGTTCCTTCTTATGATATATATTTTATTGTTATATTATTTTTTTATTTCCATTCTATTTTCACTTTGTTATTTTTTTATCGCAGTGTAATAAATATATTCGATCTCATATTCATGTATGTATATGAAAAAACCGGTTCAAACTTGTTTTACTGAACAATTGACTGTTCTGAGGTAAAAAAAAATTGTGTTTCTCTAGCAGTAGTCGAACTCTGCCTTGTACGGGTCAAAACAACATTACTGACACGGTTCCTCTACCTACTGCGCTAACAAGACATTATGATAACATGTAGTTTTTATTTTTTCACATTTTTATTAGTTGTTGGCATTTGATCTGCCTAACCTATTTTTCGCCATTGTTATTTGGTCTTTTGTTATGTAAACAAAAAAGGCCCTTCAAGTTATCCAGTCCCTGAGGCCAGTACTATGCTCATCTTTGAGTAAAATATTTTAATCGAAGAAATTTATTAAAACCTATGAAATTCTTACTGAATGTGTCTAATTTAAATAAAAAATGAATAATAAACTATATTGGTAGTCACGTTCTGTATTACAGGACAAGTAAAGTTGGTCTTTTCTTTAAAAACTGCCAGTATTTTTAACGACACTATATATTTATATTGTGACGACCTGTTTGTGTAGGGTTTTAAACATGACATATTAACTTTGTGTGAAGTCAAAACATGTTTATTTCATATTTACAAAGACACTGTGTAGCAATTATCAATATTTTCTGATATCAAAATTGAGCATAGTATATCTTTAAATTTGTGGTGTCCTTATTTTAAGTTGACATCTATTATTTATGTTCCTCATAGTATCCCTCAGCAATTGTATCTTGATACCTTTTATTCTACACTTGCATGGAGGTCTTTACTAGATTCCAATTTAACAAAATATATAAACCATCAGGCAATAAAACATGTTTTATTACCGGAAATAACGTGATTATTGGTCGGAGTACCTATTCGAAATTTAAAGCAGGGAACCAACAGTAAAATAAAAGCTTTAGAGAAATAAATGGTTATAACAATTATACGTGTTAATTTACGAGTGTAGAATAACACGGTGTTCAACAACTGTAGGAACTATACTGTTCAATAACTGTAAGAACACAGTGTAGATTACGTGGGTGGCTGAGAGAGAACACGTTTTAATACGCGGTGTTCACTTCAACTGTTCACCAAATTACAAAGACACTACGACACAGTCGTTAATGGGCATAGCTTCACTAAGTTTGCGACAACAAAAAGATGCAATTTCACCGCTATATTTTCCACTTTTTATTCCAGAAACAACACATTAGTCTAAGGAGTATATAGTGTATCTAACGTATATAGCGTATACAGCGTATACAGCGTAGATAGGCGTATTATAGCGTATACAGCGGTTATCTGAAAGTTAAACAGTTACTTTCCATTTAATAACAATTTAAAACAACATACAAAGAATGATACATACTTACAAATAAACAAGTTCACATATATAATTCATCCTTAACCAAATACTGTGCGGAATTCCTGCTGCTTAGTAATGTTAAACAATTAATTAATTGATAGAATTACAGATTATTTACCTTTTACATCAAAATTTTAACTAGGCATTACAGTTTATCTATCTTAAGCATAAAAATTGTTAATGTATTTACCTTAACAATAATAAATGTAATTATCTTTTAAGAACAAAAAATTTATTTTAAACAATAATTTTCCAGAACGAAGGCAAATAAAAACAAAAATTAAAACTTACTGAACAATGGTATCTGTTGCCCGAAACTAATAAATAAATTCACAAGATTGTACTCACATTCCGAAATTCTTATTTTCAAACTTGCGCTTGGAAAGGCGGCCAAATCTGTGCATTGCAGAGATAATTATTATTTCTAGGACAGTTTTGACCAACCAAAAATGCAGGGAAGCGCCCTCCTAAGAAACATAAAAGTTAAAATTTGATTTTCTTAAATATGGCGGATCATTAATTGCTAGGGACACGCTTAGTCTGGCAGGGACCAGAGCGCACTAAAATACACGTGCGCTGGACAGGTTGGCATGATTTATTGAAATCAAAACAATTATCTAAAACATTTTAAAACCGGTCTCTGAATAATTTAAAACCAGCACCAACATTCGGAGTCTGGAACCACCGGGCCCTCCAATGAACTTTTTTTACATAAGTTCATTCTTATATATCAAGGGAAGACGAAGATTGAATACTCGTTTTGTATAATCAAACATTCACAAGTTCTTAGGAATTTTTCACTAATCCAGATTATTCACACATATATACACTTTTTTGAAATATCGTAACGTCTTAATAGCGATGCAAAACAAAAGTCGCTTATTAAACGTTAATTAATTGCTGACTATTGTTATCAGTAGCATGAACGTTTCCTGTTCTATACACATAACATCGTAATCGGCCGTACTTTCACGGACCCATTTACCTTGACCTTACTATGACCTCACAAGTCCGTCTCTACCTTTCGTTTACTTCCAGAACGAGCCTAATGGCCATTTGCCCCGAGATAATTGCTCGTCGCAGACGAGAACGAGGTCATTTAGGACCACATTCCTTTGAATGTTATGCCATCTTTTTTGTCTTACCTGTTCAAGGTCGGCAGATATTCTCGAACCACCAGAAAACATTCGCTAGATACTGCTACCTGTCGCCACCAGCGTTTACAATAAACATCTCGCTTATCAAATAAACCTGGTGGGAACGAAGCATTTGGTCTCATAATCAAAAGTTTATTTTGGGATAAAGGGTTCTGGATCCCTTTGATCACTACTTACCTGGGTAATTGGTCTATCATTGAGAATCTTTTCTATCTCTGTAACTAAAGTTAACAGAGCCTCATCGTTGAGAAGTTGTTCTCCAATGACTGATTTTATAGCCCTTTTGTGGACCGTACTAACCGTTTCCCAAATACCGCCCATATGACTTGCATATGGAGGATTAAAATGCCATTTTTATTTCTTGCTGTTGACATAATTTTGCGAGTCGACTTTGATTAAATTGCCGAATGCTATCACGCAAAACTCTATCTCCTGATACAAATTTTTCCCATTGTCACTGAATATTTTTTCGGACGGCCTCTACGACTTACAAACCTTTGCAGTGCACAGATGAAAGATCCGTATCTAAGCTATGAGCAATTTCAATGTGCACTGCTCTGGTGGTCAAGCACGTAAATATACAGCCGTATCTTTCAATGTCGTCTTCCAGACTTCACAGTCATCGGGCCAAAATAATCGACACCGACATACCGTAAAACGGTGCCTTATCGGGTGTGTGAGCCTTTCTTCTGGAAGATGCGCACATCTGTTGCAATTCCGGTCGTTGTAACGTCGTTTGCACGTTATGCACCTACCGATAACAGACTTAACTGTTTGCAGACCGTGGATTATCCAATACTTTTGTCGCAACATGGCCAGAATATGTACTGGGCCCATGTGCGCATTCTGTTCATGACAGTTTTGTATCAGGATTCTTGTCACGTGATGGCTACTCGGCAAGATAATTTGATGCTTAGCATCTACGTGTAGGTCGGACATTGCTAGTCGTCCGCCGACTCGCATTACATTATCCTTCAATATAGGACATAGCCTTTTCAGAGGGCTCGAACTCGCAACTGGCCTCTGAGCCTTTAATTCACTTATTTCATTTTCAAACGCCTCCGTTTGAACTAATTTTAAAGATGGCTGTTTGTGCCATTTTAATTTTCCCCCACACTAAGGGTTTACTACTTACCTTACTGTAAAACTTCGTCTTTGGGGTAAGTATTTCTCAATTAAGAAACACTTAAAACGTATTAGCCAAGCGACTGCATTTTGAAGTTTATGCCAGTCGGAGAACATACTAAGTAACGTATTCATACTCAAATTATACTTATCATGAGTGTTTAGTACACTAGCCTGAGGTTTGAGCTCTATGTCATCCTCATTTACGGTTGCATTACTTACCTGCGCTGGCCACCCTGATTCATTCCTTTTAAGGAATTCGGGGCCATTCAACCATATGTCAAGCTTTTCAGTTTCTTTGCGGATTAACTCCCCTTGACGCAATGTCAGCAGGGTTACTCTTTTGAGGGTACATGCCTCCAGTCATGTGGTGACGTCACCTCATGAATTATTGATAGTCTATTTGCAACGAAAGTCTTAAACCTTTTCGTTTCATTTCTTATGTAACCTAACACAATCATAGAGTCCGTCCAAAAGTACCTTTCAGTAATTTTTACATCAAGCTCCTCTATGACAATCTGATACAGTTTTACAGCAACTACAGCTGCTGCAAGTTCGAGTCTTGGTATCGAAATAGCCTTTATAGGTGCTAACCTAGACTTACCTATAATTAGACTGCACTTACTGTGCCCCTTCGCGTCATACACTTTTAAGTACACGCTCGATCCATAGGCATACTCCGATGAATCACTAAACATATGTAGTTCAGCTTTCAAGGTCGACCTGTCGAGCTCACCTGGTATTATACATCTATCTATACTTACCTTCGATAGTGCTGGTAGGCTGGCTAGCCACTGCAGCCATTTTTCAGCATCCGCATCTGGAATTTGTTCGTCCCAGCCTAGGTTTGTTCTACAAGCACGTTGTAGAATCAATTTTGGTGTTAACGTCACTGGTGCAACAAGCCCAAGCGGATCATACAATGAACTGGCAACCGACAAGATATTACGTCTTGTCGTACCTTTGTCATGGAGATTTACATCAAACACAAAATGGTCATACTTAACATGCCACTGTAACCCAAGTGTTCGCTCACATGACGACTCGTTGTCAAGGTCTATTTTTTCCTTTGACTGAGTTCGATCCGCTTCCGGGATCGAATTCATGACATGTTCACAATTAGAGAGCCACTTTGTCAATCTGAAGCCCCCTAAAGAAAGAAGTTCTTTCATTTCTGCGGCAAGTCTAATTCCCGAACTTGAGTCTAATACTGACTTAAGAAGGTCATCAACGTAGAAATTACGTTCAACCGTACTTACCGCTTCTTGACTGAATTTATCAGTATTTTCATTTGCCGTGCGCTTCAAACAGAAAGCCGCACAACTTGGTGACGAAGTTGCACCAAACAAGTGGACGTTCATACGATACTCCTTTGGTTCCTCGTTCAAGTTACCTTGAGGCCACCAAAGGAATCTTAAAGAATCCCTATCATGCTCACATACTCTTACCTAGTGGAACATGGCTTCTATGTCCGCAACCAATGCTACTGGGGCCTGCCGGAATCGCATAAGTACGCCAGTAATACTGTTAGTTAGGTCGGGACCTTGTAACAGATTGTCATTCAATGATGTACCTCGATACTTAGCAGCACAGTCAAAGACAACTCTTACCTTACCCGGCTTCTTTGGGTTCACAACTGGATGATGAGGTAGATACCAAATACGTCCGGGTTCGAATCCCGTTCTGGTATCTAATAAGGAAGCATAAACCCTTATCAATATACCCATTCACCGTTTCTTTATACATATCAAATAACTTATTATCTCTTTGAAGTTTTCGCTTCAAATGAGATAATCTTACCGTAGCCATCTTCACGTTATTTGGAAGACTTACGTCTGGGTTTCTCCACGGGAGTCCCAATTTGTAATGACCGTTTTCTTTTACTACTGTATCTTTCATTACTGAAAGTGCACGACGGTCTTCCTGTGACATCCCTGTGCCACAGCTCTTGACATCTGGGAAGTCAGTTGCCCATAACTTATCGATTTGCAAACTGTGTACTAGAAGCAAACTGAAAATTGATACTACCTTTGATCATTTGACGATCCATTACATGTGGGTCCTATAATACTCCAGCCTAATATTGACCTAATTGCATAGGGCTCACCTTTATTCCCCTTCGCTGCTCTTCTACCCAGAATGCGTCTGGGGTGTCGCTTCCCACAAGCAACTCAACTTTGTTTACATCAATTTTTGGTAAATTGATACCATTAAGGTGTTTCCACTTACCTGTCACTGACTGGTCTGGCAACGACTGCAAGGATATAGGCAGGGTTTTTACAGACCATACCTTTTGAAGGTCAATGACCTGACCGCCATTTAATGCACTTACCTGTAGTTTAACTTCTTTGCCATTTATATTTTGACCAGACTTGTTCACTGTAGTTAACGTGAACTTACATGGTTTACTTTCAACCCCAAGCCTTTTTACAAGGCTTTCGCTACAAAGCGTTACATCGCTCCCTTCATCAAAGAGAGCGTACGTTTCTACTTGCATAGTTTTCGTTCCGACGACGACAGGAACTATGCGTAAACTTACCTTGTTTTGTTTACACCTCGATTCGGAAGCCGCAACATATTTATCCTCAACATTTGTAAATTTGTTGATTTTACTAGAATCTCGGTGAAACATTGTATTATGTTTCCCGGTACAACCTGAAACCTCACAAAAACTATTTTGCCTACAATTTTCGGCAACATGTTTGAAATACAAACAGTTTTCACACATTTCATGCTCTCTGATAACTCTCAGCTTTGAATCAATATCAATGGAGCGAAACTCTGCGCATGCCCTTAATTTATGGGCCTTTTTACAATAAATACATGATAATCGTCCCCTAGCGGATTTCTCTAAGGGAGATTTACCTGGATTTCTCTTATCAGAGCCAGTGGACAGTGTAACTACTTTATTACGCTGAGGAGGGTTTATGTGGGAATTTCTTTGCGAATTCACTGTTTGTTTTGACTCATTCGCAAGGTCATGACCATACATTGTATTGGCTACAATTGACCGTTCCCTCACAAAGGTTAGAAGATGGTTAAAACTTGGTTCGAGCCCCTGCTCTATCAGGCTACTTGCACGTTCGACCCACTGGGACCGAATGTGAAAGTGGAAGTCTCCTAACTATTTTTGCGTAGGTTTTCCGTATTATTCACATCGGACATAAAACCTAGCTGTGTCAAGGTCATATGACATTTCTCCATATGGAGTGACAGGTTCATAAGTCCCTTTACGTCATTACTTTTTATGGCACTGCCATTTACTAAACTATCTACATGGGACCGGGCCACTAAATGTGGTTTACCGTACCTAGATTTAAGGATTTCTTAACCCTTAAATAGCCTTCGTCCGGAGACAAAATTACACAATCTTCGATACAATATTTTGCTTCACCCTGACACAATTGAATTAAATAATTTAATTTTAATCTATTGTCACTTACCCTTTCCTCGATATTGGTTTCGAAATTGCTGATGAATTTACAATAATCAGCAGGATTCCCACTAAATTTAATCAACTCCGGTTTAGGTAAACCATAAACGTTTTGAGAATAAATTTGTCTTAATGGTATATTATCACAAAGATTTTCACTAATTGCATTGTCAGGTAAGTCCTTCACGTAATTTTCAACTCGAACATCGGTTGCTGGCTCGTCGGGTAAGGATAGCACTCCTCTGTCATCGGAATCTTCTTCTTCAATCTCAGCAAGTTCTAGCTCGTGCCGGGCCGACTGCAGTTCGAGCTCCCGGCGAGCCTCCTCGCTTCTGCGCTCTGTTTCTTGTTTTTCTTTCAGCTGGCGGAGGCGCAGTTCTGCCCTCCGCTTGCGTGAGGCTGTAGAGCTACACGTTACAACGGAATTTGCACAACTCGTGCCCTCTTGAATCTTCTTCATATTCGCTTCAGCTTCGTTGCTGGTTACATTACTTGCCATCTTTAGATGATACGGAATATATGTTTACGAATATAATCCAAATAAATACGGTTTAATCCAATTAACTTTCACCTTTTCGTTAATAGATTATGTTCAATAACTGTAGGATAACACGGTGTTCAACAACTGTAGGAACTATACTGTTCAATAACTGTAGTAGAATAACACGGTGTTCAACAACTGTAGGAACTATACTGTTCAATAACTGTAAGAACACAGTGTAGATTACGTGGGTGGCTGAGAGAGAACACGTTAATACGGGTGTTCACTTCAACTGTTCACCAAATTACAAAGACACTACGACACAGTCGTAATGGGCAGCTTCACTAAGTTTGGACAACAAAAAGATGCAATTCACGCGCTATATTTTCCACTTTTATTCCAGAAACAACACATAGTCTAAGGAGTATATAGTGTATCTAACGTATATAGCGTATACAGCGTATACAGCGTAGATAGCGTATATAGCGTATACAGCGGTTATCTGAAAGTTAAACAGTTATACTTCCATTAATAACAATTAAAACAACATACAAAGAATGCATACATACTTACAAATAAACAAGTCACATATATAATTCATCCTTAACAAATACTGTGGGAATCCTGCTGCTAGTAATGTTAACAAATTAATTAATTGATAGAATTACAGATTATTTACTTTTACATCAAAATTTTAACTAGGATACAGTTTTATCTATCTTAACATAAAATTGTTAATGTATTTACCTTAACAATAATAAATGTAATTATTTTAGAACAAAAATTATTTAAACAATAATTTTCCAGAACGAAGGCAAATAAAAAACAAAAATAAACTTACTGAACAATGGTATCTGTGCCCGAAACTTAATAAATAGAAATTCACAAGATTTGTACTTCACATTCCGAAATCTTATTTTCAACTGCGCCTTGGAAAGGCGGCAAATCTTGCATTTGCATATAATTATTATTTCTAGGGACAGTTTTGACCAACCAAAATGCAGGAAGCGCCCTCTAAGAAAATAAAAGTAAAATTTGATTTTCTAAATATGGGGATCATTAATTGCTAGGGAACGCTTAGTCTTGGCAGGGACCAGAGCGTACTAAAATAACACTGCGCTGGACAGTTGGCATGATTTATTGAAATCAAAACAATTATCTAAACATTTTAAACAGGTCTCTGATAATTAAAACCAGCACCAACATTCGGAGTCTGGAACAACGAGGTATGCAAGCATGTTAGCGAAAACGATATTAATATAAAAAAAACGATGTTTTAAATGATCAAGGGTAAATTTTTTTAGTAATGTACTGAAAGTACTAAGTACATTGTATATGCAATGTTAAGTATTTTCTTTGATGTTCGTTAATGTAAACTGAATCGATATTAATTGAATTAATTTGAATATAATTGCTAAAAAACATGAATATATATTTACAATTATAGAATTAATTTCCAATAAGATAAGTTTAATTTAATAGCTCATTTACTTGAAAACAAAGATATGTTGGCACAAATATTATTTTTAAAGACACGAGTGAATGCATTAGGCGTATAAATGAAAGAAACGATCGAACAATGCCCTAAACGTATTCTGTATCTCTAGAGCACATGTTACTCGCTAATAGCCTATCAGGATAAATCATCGAATGCATTGTTATCTCGTACATGAAATGTATAAGCTTTTAAAATGTTCTGTTGAAAAAAATTATCATTAGGTGTAAAAACCAATTAACACTAAAAAGCAACACTTCATCAGAGCAATAATGCTCGTTTTTTTAAATCGTTGTATTTAAGTGGTTCTTATTTTGCTCTTCTTTGTAAATTTTTACTCCCATATTTTATTTTATGTCCATGTCATTTACAAGATTGTATTACATACTAGTAAGTTTTATATTGAATCGATTTTTCTTCTTTAACGCGAAATTCCTTAAATTAAGAAATATTGTAATATTTTATATATTCGCAAAAAGAAATATAATACAATCCGTTTGAAATGTTACAAAAGAGCCGTAAAAATCTAAATGAATTATTTATAATCAAGAATCAATACATGTATGCTCTTTAGCAATGGGCCATCTTAGCCAGGCTAAGGTCAAACAATTTCAAAAGATTTTTCTTCTGATAAGATTGATTATGTTTGCAAATTAAAACACGTCTCGTTAAAATTGAGGAGGATACTTAAATGAAAGTCTTTTTTTATTTTTCCATATTTGCTAAATTGTGTTAAACTGTAAGAATATTTAATAAATTCTTAGTAGACTCTCTTGTAGTAACTTATCTAGCATCCGATGGGAAACAACTCTGCAGGAACTGTTCAAAATAGTTCTCATGAGTTATTCAACTTTTTCAGTCATTATACAGACTATATAAAATTGCTTTTTGTACTCTGTACCAATATTTTAATAGCCAGATTATACGTATCTACAATATGCATGTTTAAACT